TGTGATTTGTTATTTTTGGTAAAACTTCTTTTTGTCATTGGGTGGCTGACGCACTGTTCCATGGCGGTTATTTCAGGTGAATAACATTGTTACATAGCCGTTATATCGGGTGAATAACACTGTTACATGGTTGTTATATCAGGTGAATAACACTGTTACATGGTTGTTATATCAGATCAAAAACACTGTTAAATGGTTGTTATATCAGATGAATAACACTGTTACATGGTTGTTATATCAGGTGAATAACACTGTTACATGGTTGTTATATCAGATCAAAAACACTGTTAAATGGTTGTTATATCAGATGAATAACATTGTTACATGGTTGTTATATCAGGTGAATAACACTGTTACATGGTTGTTATATCAGATCAAAAACACTGTTAAATGGTTGTTATATCAGATGAATAACACTGTTAGATGGTTGTTATATCAGATGAATAACACTGTCACATGGCCGTTAAATCAGGTGAATAACACTGTTACATGCTTGTTATATCAGATGAATAACACTGTAAAATGGTTGTTATATCAGGTAAATAACACTGTGAAATGGTTGTTATATCAGGTGAATAACACTGTTAGATGGTTGTTATATCAGGTGAATAACACTGTTAAATTGTTGTTGTATCAGGTGAATAACACTGTTACATGGTTCTTATATCAGATGAATAACACTGTTAAATGGTTGTTATATCAGATCAAAAACACTGTTAAATGGTTGTTATATCAGATGAATAACACTGTCACATGGCCGTTAAATCAGGTGAATAACACTGTTACATGCTTGTTATATCAGATGACTAACACTGTAAAATGGTTGTTATATCAGGTGAATAACACTGTGAAATGGTTGTTATATCAGGTGAATAACACTGTTAGATGGTTGTTATATCAGGTGAATAACACTGTTAAATTGTTGTTATATCAGGTGAATAACACTGTTACATGGTTCTTATATCAGATGAATAACACTGTTAAATGGTTGTTATATCAGATCAAAAACACTGTTAAATGGTTGTTATATCAGATGAATAACACTGTCACATGGCCGTTAAATCAGGTGAATAACACTGTTACATGGTTGTTATATCAGATGAATAACACTGTTAAATGGTTGTTATATCAGGTGAATAACACTGTTAAATTGTTGTTGTATCAGGTGAATAACACTGTTACATGGTTCTTATATCAGATGAATAACACTGTTAAATGGTTGTTATATCAGATCAAAAACACTGTTAAATGGTTGTTATATCAGATGAATAACACTGTCACATGGCCGTTAAATCAGGTGAATAACACTGTTACATGGTTGTTATATCAGATGACTAACACTGTAAAATGGTTGTTATATCAGGTAAATAACACTGTGAAATGGTTGTTATATCAGGTGAATAACACTGTTAGATGGTTGTTATATCAGGTGAATAACACTGTTAAATTGTTGTTATATCAGGTGAATAACACTGTTACATGGTTCTTATATCAGATGAATAACACTGTTAAATGGTTGTTATATCAGATCAAAAACACTGTTAAATGGTTGTTATATCAGATGAATAACACTGTCACATGGCCGTTAAATCAGGTGAATAACACTGTTACATGCTTGTTATATCAGATGACTAACACTGTAAAATGGTTGTTATATCAGGTAAATAACACTGTGAAATGGTTGTTATATCAGGTGAATAACACTGTTAGATGGTTGTTATATCAGGTGAATAACCACTGTTAAATTGTTGTTATATCAGGTGAATAACACTGTTACATGGTTCTTATATCAGATGAATAACACTGTTAAATGGTTGTTATATCAGATCAAAAACACTGTTAAATGGTTGTTATATCAGATGAATAACACTGTCACATGGCCGTTAAATCAGGTGAATAACACTGTTACATGGTTGTTATATCAGGTGAATAACACTGCTGTTAAATAGTTGTTATATCAGGTGAATAACACTGTTAAATGGTTCTTATATCAGGTCAATAACACTGTTAGATGGTTGTTATATCAGGTGAATAGCACTGTTATATGGTTGTTGTATCAGGTGAATAACACTGTAACATGGTTGCTATATCAGGTGAATAACACTGTCACATGGCTGTTATATCAGGTGAATAACACTGTTAAATGGTTCTTATATCAGGTGAATAACACTGTTAGATGGTTGTTATATCAGGTGAATAACACTGTTAAATGGTTGTTATATCAGGTGAATAACACTGTTAAATGGTTGTTATATCAGGTGAATAACACTGTTAAATGGTTGTTATATCAGGCGAATAACACTGTTAAATGGTTGTTATATCAGATGAATAACACTGTTAAATGGTTGTTTTATCAGGTGAATAACACTGTCACATGACCGTTAAATCAGGTGAATAACACTGTTAAATGGTTGTTATATCAAGTGAATAGCACTGTTACATGGTTGTTTTATCAGATGAATAACACTGTTAAATGGTTGTTATATCAGGTGAATAACACTGTTATATGGTTGTTATATCAGATGAATAACACTGTTAAATGGTTGTTACATCAGATGAATAACACTGTTATATGGATGTTATATCAGATGAATACGACTGTTATATGGTTGTTATATCAGATGAATACGACTGTTATATGGTCGTTATATCGGGTGAATAACAGTATCGGTTGAATAGAACCGTCATATATTCCCGTGCTATATCATTCTGATAATGTTACCGCAACATTAACTGTCCAATCAAGACACGTGTTTTGTTTCTTTGTTTCTTTGTTGTTTAACGCCGCACTCAGCAATATTCCAGCTATATGACAGCGATCTGTAAGTAATCGAGTCTGGACCAAACAGTCCAATGATTGACATCATGAGCATCGATCTCTGGAATTTGGATGCGAAAACATGCATCAACCAAGTCAACGAGTGTGACCACCCGATTCCGTTAGTCGCCTCTCACGACAAGCATGGGTTGCCGAAGACCCTTTCTTTTCCGGATTTTCAGGAATTTTGAAATCCAATGGGGTTAGTGGGATTTGTTGTTTAATGAAGCAGACAGCAATATTCCTTCTACATACAGCGGCCTCTAAATAATCGAATCCGGGTCAGGAAAACAAGTGGTTGACAGCATGAGCAACGGTCACGGACGACACGCATAGGTCATAGTTCTGAAGAAGTGGAGCTGAAAGGCGTTTGAGTTTTTGAAATGGTCATTGTACCTGCCTACCAAAAATATATTTAAAATAATAATGTAAATTTAAAAACAAGTCCTTTATTTCTTCCCGATCAGCTTTACTTTAGCATTACCTCAAAAACATGAAAATTAAAAAAACAATATAGTATTTGTATTTCCATCACACGGTTTTAAAAAGTAATCCACAAACATAAAAATTAAACGGAGGCTTCAATGGGTTCCCGGGGCACATACGTGTGTTGAGAATGTTCAACCTTTGAGTGCGGTACTGATATATTTACGCTGAAAATGCGTCAGTTCCATGGCAACGTCGAGTTTAATCACCTGGACAAAAAGAATATCCATTTCATAGAGTGGTGGCCAGTTAGAGTTCGAATCCGGGTTTTGACTCTGTAATTTATATGAAGGTAGTCAATATTTATCATTTAGTCTTTCGTTTTCTTTGGTCGTTTTCCTTTTAAAACAAGGCGTAGAAGGTTATTCCATTATTGTGCCTCGCTTTACCTCGTGCGTGTGAGAGCTGAGTTGGATGGTCAGACTATATGATTCTGCTGCTTGTTTTCCTGGGGCGGTATTCATAAAAGAACTTAAGTCTGAAAAAAAACTTAAGTCTTGAAAAAAACTAAGTTTTTTACCTTTTCTGACTTAAGTTTTAAGATTTTACTTAAGTCATATTCATGAAGCGACTTAGGCTTAAGTTTTACCAATTTCTGACTTAAATCTTAAGACTATTATGTTTAGTGAGTGAGTGAGTGAGTGAGTGAGTATGGTTTTACGCCGCTTTTAGCAATATCACGGAGGGGAACACCAGAAATGGGCTTCACACAATGTACCCATGTCGGGAATCGAACCCGGGTCTTCGGCGTGACGAGCGAAGGCTACCCGACCGACCCCTATTATGTTTAGACTGATGTGATATTTTTTACTCCGGCGTAAAACAACATACATCGTCAACGCTATGCGTCGACACTCTTTTTGAGAGGGGATGTGTGTCGTCCACAGTGGGATCCTCGCCCTTAAAATTACGTTGATGACAGTTGTTAGTTGACAAGAAGAGGGTAGACACACTCGATCATGCTGGTCTACGATCCTGGGTTCGAATCCCAGATCCTCCCTGGTTATGGTTCTGTGGTACGTCAGCGCTATACCTCTCCTCGTTGGTTTCACCCAAGGGGTAAACGTCAAAGGCCTGTACTCTTAGGATTTTCCTCCCACATTGTGATGACAGCTCCAAACTGATTTAAACAAAAGCTTTATCGGAAATGGTGACTCTTTTACGAGCGCTTCGAATGCTTGTTTTTCGAGCACGACAAAGCAGTGATCTTGTTTGTTGTTTAACGCCGCACTCAGCAATATTCCAGCTGTGTGACTGAAGTCTGTAAGTAATCGAGTTTGGATCAGATTGTCATCATGAGCATCGACTAACGCAACTTGGATACTATAATATGCATCAACCAAGTTATCGAGCCTGATCACCCGATCCCTTAATCGCCTCTTACGTGAGTGAGTGAGTGAGTTGGGTTTAACGCCGCTTTTAACAGTATTCCAGTTAAATCACGGCGTGTCAGCTTAATGTGGGAGGAAAGCCCGAAGTGATGCAGGTCTCAGACGTTTACCACTTCGGTGAAACCCACGAGCACGGGTATGGTGCTGATCGCCTCTAACGACAAGCATGGGTTGCTGAAGACAAATTCTAACCCGGATCTTCACGGGGGCAGTGTTCATGAGCATCACAGGTTATTGTATAGAAAATACACGTCAAAATACAAAGTTACACAAGACAAATATTTTATTAATTAACTTCATCACCGGCCTGTCAGCATCACCCCTTGTCATTGTATACGTATTCCAGGATCTCTCGGAGAGTGCAGTTCCTCATCTTACCAATACCATCCGGACTTGTTGGCAGTTGAAATTCTCGATGCCACTGTAGATGTATTCCATAATTTCCCCGCCATTCATAAGAATTCTTTATACCCAGGAACCGGATTTGATGCTTATCTGGGAAGAAGAAGCTCGCTGTTTCCATGTGGACGGACGATGGACTCTCCTTCGACAACTGGCGAACTGTTATTTCCGACAAAGTGGCGAAATCGACATCTTTGAAGTCGTTGTATTTGAGGTACCATTCCCCGATGAATGTAGCGCCTCTTTTGGCCAGTATGACAGCATTATTCAACCCCCTATCGTTGTCTTGATGACCAAGAGTGACGTCATAATGCAGGAATGGCTCAAGAGGACGAAGAAGCAGCATGTCAAGGTCAAGGTAGATTCCGCCATTAACTGAAAAGAGTGTTTCATACAATGAACCGCAAGAGAAACGTCACTTCCTGAAAGTTTTCAATTGAAATATCAATGCGTTTTTTTAGGTTTCTCGTATTTGTCGTTAGTCTGTAATTTAGTTAGTCCAAATTTATAGTTAAGGGCCCAAAATATGTATATAATGGGTTGCCAAAACGCAATTTAACAAACGGCCGTGGTACGAAGTCCCGAATGCTGTCTTTGTTGTTTGAAAATCAAAATGCAATTGCGTTTTCTTATAACTTTCTGATAAACGGCACCCCAGTAGGTGGTTCCAAAATTCTTGCACCGATACTAGCGCCATGCCAAGACTTACGAAGAATCAGAGAAACCGGGCATTTTGGCGACTGCATCCTGATGGTGACTTGGTATCGTTGCTGTATCTGTAGATGGTTCTCACGTGGACATTAAAAGCATTGGCAACCATTCGTGCAGTCTATCCAGCATGCTGTCATCATAAAGCATGTATATGTTTGAGATCAGGGGTAGATCTTGCACGCTTGCTGTAAAAGGCGACTGACTATGCTTGTCGTAAGAGGCGACTAACGGGATCGGGTGGTCAGGCTCGCTGACTTGGCTGATACATGTTATCGATCCAAATTGCGTGGATCGGTGCTCATGATATTAATCACTGAATGTTTCTGGTCCAGACTCGACTATTTACAGACAGCCGTCATATAGCTGGAATATTGCTGAGTGCGGCGTTAAACAACAAACCAACAACATGTATATATTTGATATAAAAAGACATGAGGGTGAGATTTTATTTATTATCCAACATGATTCTTCCAACTTTTTTAAGTTTGTTATTAAGAAATAAACGAGTGGGAGTTGTTTATCGACCCTCATGGTTTCTTCTCCCTTCACTGTTTTATTGTACGATAAGCAACGATCACGAGTCGTTTATTTCTTATATGAGATATCAACATTTTTGTATAGCCTCTTTAAAGACGTTAAGAAAATGTACAAGCTTTAAAAATATTTACCCCTTTTGATATAATGACGACTCCCTGATTACAATCCGACCTCAGCAAGTCGGATGAGTCAATCTTATAACCAGGGGGGTTACGTTGGTATTTCCCGGATATTCTCACAATCCTCACGACGATTACCTGTACCTTTTCTCCCAATACCGATTGTCATATGATATCTCTAACGCTTTTGGATAAGCTCGTTCCGGCATCGTATTTATCGGCGTTGCCCAGCTACATCTATTGGGAACAACTCCCTACACACTCTCCTCTCAAAAAATAACATCGTCCAATATATGGCGTCATCAAGTTCCGTGCGCATGTTCGAATCTCCAGAAATGACGCCATGATAGAACAATGTTTTATCGTAAAATAAACCACGCTTCGTTCTTCATTGTTCTCTGCGATTTATGGCGTAGCTATCTTATATACAGTAATAAGCAGTGCATTGAGTGTAAAAAGTACCGCTAACAGCTTCAGTAGAACCATTAGCGACGTCATTTGTTTGTATCGTCATAGTAACGATGACGTCACAATTGTCTGCAAAGCATTGTGATGCAATTTCATAGCAGCGATATCTCTTGTGAGAGCCAGTTTGGATGATACATAATTATACGCATGGGTGCGTTGCAAAGCGCAAATCGCTTGTAAGCGATGTTCAGCGATTCGCCTTACAACGGTACAACTTTAACAAGCGCAATAATCGCCGGCTGAGGTCGCTTCGATCTCAAACCAAAATGACTCACACATGAACTGACGTATAAGTGACACACACATTCACACATGAACTGACGTATAAGTGACACACACATTCACACATGAACTGACGTATAAGTGACACACACACTCACACGTGAACTGACGTATAAGTGACACACACATGAACTGACGTATAAGTGACACACACACTCACACGTGAACTGACGTATAAGTGACACACACACTCACACATGATATGACGTATAAGTGACACATACCTTCACACATGAACTGACGTATAAATGACACACACTTTCACACATGAACTGACGTATAAGCGACACACACACTCACACGTGAACTGACGTATAAGTGACACACACACTCACACATGAACTGACGTATAAGTGACACACACACTCACACGTGAACTGACGTATAAGTGACACACACCCTCACACGTGAACTGACGTATAAGCGACACACACACTCACACGTGAACTGACGTATAAGTGACACACACACTCACACATGAACTGACGTATAAGTGACACACACACTCACACGTGAACTGACGTATAAGTGACACACACCCTCACACGTGAACTGACGTATAAGCGACACACACATTCACACATGAACTGACGTATAAGCGACACACACACTCACACGTGAACTGACGTATAAGTGACACACACATGACCTGATGTGTAAGTGACACACACACTCACACGTGAACTGACGTATAATTGACACACACGAACTGACGTTTAAGTGACACACACATGAACTGATGTGTAAGTGAAACACACACTCACACATGAACTGACGTATAAGTGACACGCACACACTCACACATGAACTGACGTATAAGTGACACACACACACTCACACATGAACTGACGTATAAGTGACACACACACTCACCCATGAGCAGCTGCAATCTAATGAGATGCCCTGCCAGATCGGTGGAGGTTATTTTCTTTTCCGCAAGCCAGACTGGCCTCTCCCTTTGGACAAACCTCACCCCCAGCTCCGCCTCCGCCTTCTGCCACCACGTCCCCATCGGCCTCATGTCACCGACAACATATATCGCCCATGGCTTGATAAACCTCCTGGCACTCAGCAAACTCAGATAATGTATAAAAGAGAGTCGACTGACACCAAATGCCACGTAGTATACAATCCTTGGAATGGCATAGCCGCCATTTTGAAATCCGAGTTCTGTAGCGTTTGGCAAGAGACAACTGCCAGCAACTAGGTTCTGTGTCTGGGCTTTGTACCACCTGCAAATGACGTCACTGGAATCCGCATACTCGTCACATAACCAGTCAGGTTCCATGCACGAGGCAGAAGAGTCGACATTTTCAATAGAATAAAACACGCATAGGTCATCATACGGACTGTCAGTTTCTCGGGACTCACTGTCCTCATGTGGTGCGCTGGTATTATCTCCGGCACGACGTAGAAAACCCAGTGCATCGTCATTGGGACGAGAAGTCATATCGTTGTCTCTCCACACGACGGACACCCGCTTCACAAACAGGTATACGATGATGATGGTGGCGAGAGACAGAAACACTGACTGGTTTCTTTTCATGATCAAACACACAATTCCCATGAATCTTTTAAACATGTTCTCTCAAAAACCAGAAACTTTTACACAGATTAGCACGTCGCTTAAAAAGAGGAACAATTTGCGTGGTGAAAACCAGGCTAGCAGGTGCGTGTAGGTGATTAAGATCCCTGGATTCGCGTTCGCTGTTTTGGAAGGATCTGATTGTGATTGGGGTGACCAAACACGCGGTTGACAGGTTTTGATGAACTGATTGGGCGATAAGTATCGGCAAACAATACAAAGGATAATAATATTTCATACCTGAAGTGGTAGTGCAGTATAGGTATGTATTGTTTGTTTGTTTGTTGATTAGCGCCGCATTCAACAACATTCCTGCAATATGACGGCGGTCTGTAAATAATCGAGTTTGGGCCAGACAATCCAGTGACTGACATCACGAGCATCGATCTACACAATTGGGATACGATGATATACATCAACCAAGTCAGCGAGTTAGGGCACCCGATCCCGTTAGTCGTCTAAGTAGCCGTATTTTTTGACGGGTGGTGGAACGAAGTCTGCCTACAAACCCGTCACGACGAGACCCCGGGTAGAATAGGTCTTCAGCAGCCCATGCTTACCGTAAAAGGCGTCTATGCTTGTCGTCAGAGGCGACTAACGGTATCGGGTGGTCAGGCTCGCTGACTTGGTTGATGCATGTCATCTTATCCAAATTGCGTGGATCGATGCTCATGATGCCAATCACTGGATTGTCTGGTCCAGACTCGATTATTTACATACCGCCGTCATATAGCTGGAATATTGCTGAGTGCGGCGTAAAACAACAAATAAATAAAATCATCATTATCTGTGTATAATTGTGGTGGTTATGTAAAATCGAAATTGATATTCGTCAGAACATGTGATTTCTCAAGTATGCTAGAATTGTATATTTAACCGACTCTCACACCCCTATCACATGTGCAGGTACATGAGTGTACACATTCTCCTCAGTGATTGAGTTGGGTTTAACGCCGCTTATAACATGTCAGTTATATCACAGCGTGTCAGCTTCGTGTAGGAAGAAAGCCCGAAGTGATGCAGGCCTCAGACGTTTAAACTTTGGTGAAACCCACGAGCAGAGGTATAGTGATGAGTGAGTGAGTGAATATGGTTTTACGCCGCTTTTAGCAATATTCCAGCACTATCACGGCGGGGGACACCAGATATGGGCTTCACACATTGTACCCATGTCGGGAATCAAACCCGGGTCTTCGGCGTGACGAGTTAATGTTTTAACCACTAGGCTACCCGACCCCCCCAGGTATAGTGATGACAAACCTTGTAAAATAATCGGGGCGAACCAGGATTCGAATCCACGTCATAATTTTCAAGTTCACCAAAGGGACGCAACTCTGCACAGCGAATTGCGGCGCCTCAGATGAGAAGGTCGCCCTTGCATTCACATGAACTAGGACACACGCATACGCACACGCACACGCACACGCACACCCGTCTCCGTGCACAATGCAGGCTTATGTCAACAAGCACAAACTTGATAACTATTGCATGAGACGTGGATATTTCAGTCTCGGATCACGACACGCGTCATAGCGATCCGCTATCACTTGTAGTGACACGCAAACTGTGTCCGACACTTCTCGCATTGCTTGTCTCGGTAATTCCCTTTCAACAAATTGACGCCCCATAGTTGTGAACGTCTCTATTCCTACGATGAATAAGATGGTACGCAATCAACTTTGCCTGACCACCGAACTCACTTTGAACGATTCTAAAAATTAAAATTGTTATAGGCAGTTTTCGAAATTGCTGCCTTCCCGCTAGTTAATTGACAGTGACTTTTAAATTGGGCAAGTAACATATCCATCAGGCTCGCTCGACTGTCTAGTTGAAAAATCTAGTCAATACACAGTTATTTCTCATCAAGTCAGTTAAGGTGTCAATTAATGTTAAAGTCTGCTGTCATTTTGTTTCATTTCGTAGTTTACATACCTGTCAACTCTCACTCATCTCGCGTGAGTCTCACGCATTTATCACCTATGTCACGCTCACACGCAAGGTTGAGAAATTCTCACGCATTCATATAAAATGTAGATAAAATATTTCTCTTTCGATTTATCGCGATTGCAACCAACACGACGAGAACAAACATCATTCAAAATCAGTTTTCGCCTCCCTCCCTCATTTAGACATCCAGGGGTTGACAGCTATGAGTTTATCGGAAGGCCACGCGAAGTAGTACACTGTAGGTTTTGTTTCGTTTGTTGTTTAACACCGCACTCCGCAATATTCCAGCTATATGTCGGCGGTCTGTAATTAATCGAGTCTGGACTAGACAATCTTGTGATTGACATCATAAGCATAGATCCACGCAATTGGGATACGATTTCATGCATCAACCAAGTCAGACTTTTAGTTTTGTCATTAATTGGAACACATTGGAAACATCTCTTCTTAGCATACTTCTCTTTATGTTTCTATGGTTTGCGTTGCTTTTGGTGGTGAGTATATAGTGACCCGCATGCGTGCGTGTGTGTGTGCGTGCTTGTATTAGTCCGGACTAATGGCGATTTTATAGTGCTAGCCCACTGAACATGAATACCCCACTCAGACACACCTCCATCAGCTACATCAGCTCCATCAGCCACCAACTCCGGAGTTATCTCAGTGCCAGGCAGGGTAACATGTTCCATCTTGTTTTGTTTCTTTGTTTGTTGTTTAACGCCGCACTCGGCAATATTCCAGCTATATGTCGGCGGTCTGTAATTAATCGAGTCTGGACTAGACAATCTTGTGATTGACATCATAAGCATTGATCCACGCAACTGGGATACGATTTCATGCATCAACCAAGTCAGCGAGCCTGACCAGAAAATCCCCCACAGTCATCTCTTACAAGTATGGGTTGCTGAAGAACAATTCTAACCTGGATCTTTAGGGACGAGTCCTATTACAGCATAATGTTTGACACAAACCCGAAGTGACATGGTGAGTTAGGTTCAAAGTCGTTTTCAAGATTATTCAACTTGTACTCACCGTCAAAAGAAACGCGAAGACCATACATGTTAATTTATGAAGAATTACTCATTTTCAAGAGATATTAAATTGGTACGATGCTCAAATGAGACTGTATGTGAACCGGTGCTCATGAACACATCACATGTGACGCCATAGATCCATAACTGTTTGTTTGTCGTTTAACGCCGCACTCAGCAATATTCCAGCTATATGACGGCGGTCTGTAAATAATCGAGTCTGGACCAGACAATCCAGTGATTAATATCATGAGCATCGATCCACGCATTTGGGATACGATGACATGTATCAACCAAGTCAGCGAGCCTGACCACCCGATCCCTTTAGTCGCCTTTTACGACAAGCATAGTCACCTTTTACGGCAAGCATAAGCATAGTCACCTGTTTGGCAACCATGGGTTGCTATTCTACCCCGGAATCTTCACGGGTAAGATCAATGACTGAGATGCACGACTTGTCTGTGCAGGATCAGGTGTAAAGTGTGGAAATCACATGCAGCATATCTTGATAAGAATAAAGTTATATGACGGTGGTCTGTCATTAATCGAGTCTGGATCAGACAATCCTGTGATTGACATCATGAACATAGATCCATGCAATTGGGATCATGACATGCATCAACTAAGTCAGCGAGCCTGGCCACCCGATCCCGTTAGTCGTTTCTTGCGACAAGCAAAGTCGCACAAGGTTCTGAAGACCTTTTCTACCCTTGATCTTCACGGGTCTCCATCTTCTAAAGTCTTTCGGTAAGGTAAGACGCAGCTAGAAGATCTCAATACCTTCTGGGCAGACCTCAAAGTGACTTAAACGTTCCCCACTGTGTTGAAATCCAGACTAGGAACCGTGCACATAAACCACGGACCACAACAGTGGACAATTTGGGCTTCCATCTCAAGATCATCAAATCTTGACAGCCCGGAAAAACAGAGCAGCACTACAGTACAGCTGGGCCACCCAGGAGTGAGTGAGTGAGTGAGTATGGTTTTACCCCCCTTTTTAGCAATATTCCAGCAATATCACTGCGGGGGACACCAGAAATGGCCTATACACATTGTACCCATGTCGGGAATCGAGCCCGGGTGTTTGGCGTGACGAGCGAACACTTTAACCACTAGGCTACCAGAGCCCCTGGGCCACCCATGACCCCTCTTGATTATAGACCTACCCTGAAGAGTACTCATGTGGAATGCAGTCACTACAAAGCCAGAACAGTCTTAATTGTTGTTTATTTCAATGTTTTGAAGTTACTGAATTATGTATATACATACAAGATACATGATGGTTGGGGAAAACAAATAAAGAACTTTAGGTTCTTGATAATGACTAAGTAGGGTTTTATGTCACTTTTAGCAATATTCCAGCAAAATCACTGCGGGGGACACCAGAAATGGGCTTTACACATTGTACCCATGTCGGGAATCGAACCCAGGCCTCCAGCGAGACTAGCAAACGCTTTAACAACTAGGCTACCCCACTGCCCGATTCTTGATCATGTGTTATTGTCTAATACGAATGAATAAATTCTATTTTTTGTATTAAATGTAAAATTTGTTTTCATAAAATACTTTAGTTCATATAAAAAATGAATTTGTTTATGAAAGAATATTCACAAATAATTATACACAGAAATTGATGTATTGCTGGCACCACGTACAGTGAAACCTGCTTATTCCAGCCAGTACACTTCTGGGGAATGTCCAGATTAACAAACCATGTGTACAGATGGATTTTCTTTTATACATAAGAATACATCCCCAAGACTGAAAATTGGGTTTCCAGTTTAAGAGGGTCCGGTCTAATAAGGATTCACAGAAAGTGTTCACAATACTGTCACAATAAGACTTCCAGAGTTTATCAACTGATTTTACAAATATCAACTAACATCTAGATCTAAACAGATTACACCTGCATGTTAACAAAACATGAGTTTTATTGATTCAGTGAGGTTTTAGCAATAGTCCAGCTGACAACTGGTCCACCACATCATTTAAAACCTTCAAATATATCTCCATACATACTGAATATTTCCAGCAAACCCTGGACGTAAATAAACCGATGTGTAAATGTGTAACCCGAGCTGTGTACATTCTCATAAGCAATGATTGGTCTATATCTTATAAGCAATGATTGGTCTATATCTTATAAGTAATGATCGGTCTATATATTATCTACACAATCTCATAGCTGCAAATGAGGGCTTCACATTAAATGCAAACATAATTTTAGTGGCCAATAAAATATAAGAAATTATTTACATGCAAATGTACAAATATGTTATCTAACCTTTCAGAAACATGAATCAATATTTGACTCATCTGTAAACTTGTCTGGGGGCCACTACAAAACTGACTTACAACAGCCATAGTTTGTTATTTAACACATTCAGCAATATTCCCGTTATATGACCAGTGCCCTGTAAATAATCAAGCCTGGACCAGATAATCGAGTGATTAATATTCATGAGCAAACAATCCGTATCGTCGGGGTACATTGACTGTGCTATGAGTGAGTGAATATTGTTTTATGCCAGATTTAGTGGTATTCCAGTCCTATAACAGATGGGGAATCCAGAGATGGACTTCACACATTGTTCCGACATCAGCCAAGAGACTAACACAATCCTGGACACTTGTTTATATGACATTACTATTGGGTAGAGGCACATCTACGCGAACACTCCCTTGTTTTGACAGCCTCTGCCAGGAAACATTGATTACACAAATACAAATATCTACTCTAATCTTGTGATGGTGTCATTACCACAGCTGTCTAAAGAAGATACTAAAATGAGGATTTGGTGTCGTCATATGCTCATGCTATCAACCACTGGTTTATCTAGTCGACTTGATTATTCTCAAATATTAGTGTCAGTCACCACATATCAAGGTGAGTGTGCCCTTGACCTGAAGTCCATGAGGTGTTTTGGACCTCTTCCTCCCTGGAGTGAGTGAGTATTGTTCTACGCCGCTTTTAGCAATATTCCAGCAATATCATGGCGGGGGACACCAGAAATGGGCTTCACACATTGTACCCATGTCGGGAATCGAACCCGGGTCGTCGGCGTGACGAGCGAACGCTTTAACCAGTAGGCTACCCGACCGCCCCATTCCTCCCTGTGATGTAACTGTGATGCTGCCTTAACCGATATTCAAATGGCAAACCAAGAATCAGTTTCACACATGGGAATCAAACCCAGGTGTTCATCCTGACAAGCCAACGCTTTACCAACTGGGCTATCCCACTATGAAGGAAGTCATTAATTCAGATCACACAGATCAACAACAAATGGTAAATAAGTCTGTATACTGCTCCATCTCCACATGAACACACCAAGCTCCGTCGTAACAAGCACTTCAATGCATAAATTATGTAACAGTGTGATGCAACTGTCTCTTTCAACACCTGAGAACAACAATCCTCTTCTCCACAAAATGACCTTCCAGTACTTCATTTACATAAGGGTCACAATTGCTTGAGTTGAGTGTCCAAGTTCTTGCCATCCTAACCAAATATTAATCCCGAGTTGTTATTTCATTTGAGGACGAAGAGGCCATCAAAAAGTTTTGTAAGATTGACTTCAGAATATGCGTTAGTCTTGAGCCAGCTGCCGACAGTGTCTTTCAGAGTCTTGTAGGATGACTTGTACACACCCACGGCGTTCTCCCCTCGAGCGTTCTTCTGGCCAGGCTCTGCAGTCAAAAGGTAAGTTCATCATATAAGGGATAGTGGTATCGATGTGCTGAACCAGCCTGTGAAATTTGGTATTACGAGCCCATAAATATGCAATGTGGTCACCTAGCAGGTACTACTTTTAGTATTGATTGATTGAGTTTGGTTTTAGGCCGCTTTTAGCAATATTCCAGCAATATCACGGCGGGGGACACCAGAAATGGGCTTCACACATTGTGTTTACATGAAAGAGAATGAGACTTTTCAACTTTTCAACACTTGCTTGTTTTGGACTTGTGAAAACACTAAACCAAAAGGTGAGGCTAAAATATGTCAAAATGGTTTAAGAGGTTTTATGGAAGCATGTATCAATTGTTGCATCAATGGAGTGCCTGTGAGTGCCTGTGAGAGACGTAAGTGCCTGTGAGAGACGTGTGTGCCTGTGAGAGCTTGTGTGAGCCATGAATGCCTGTGTGTGCCTGTAAGAGCCTGTGGGAGCCTCTGTGTGCCTTCGAGTATCTGTAAGAGCCGGTGTGTGCCTGTGAGAGCCTATGGGTGTCTGTGAGTGCCATGAGAGCCTGTGTGTGCCTGTGAGTGTCTGTGAGAGCCTGTGTGTGCCTGAGAGCCTGTGTGCCTGAGAGCCTGTGAGTGTCTGTGAGAGCCTGTGTGCCTGAGAGCCTGAGTGTGCCTGTGAGAGCCTGTCTGTGCCTGTGAGAGCCTGTGTGTGCCTGTGAGAGCCTGTGTGTGCCTGTGAGAGCCTGTGTGTGCCTGTGAGAGCCTGTCTGTGCCTGTGAGAGCCTGTGTGTCCCTGTGAGAGCCACGACTTCCTGCGAGTGCCTGTGAGAGCCTGGGAGTGTCTGTGTGTGCCTGTGAGAGCCTGTGTGTGCCTGTGATTGCCAGTGAGAGCCTGTGAGAGCCTGTGATCTGAGTACAACTTACTTGAGTCTTGCAGCAGTGAGATGGCCTTCTCTGTGTCGAAGATGAACTGGTAGAAACACAGCTGTGTGTACAGTGCCGAGTCTGTGAACTGAGATAAGGAATCGGGTACGTGATCCATGCAGTTGATTGTGGAATGTTTTTCAGCACATTTTCTTAACTCAGAGGAATCTTAAAATCGTTTTTTGAGATTACAGTCAATGCAATAATATGAAACTAAGCATTATCTTAATTGGTCCTGTTATCACTGTGATACATCTACAAAACCATACCTAAACTTAGATATTAGTTGTTTCATGAATTTGGAAATACATAATAACAATGTGGAAAATGTTGTATCATTTGCTGCAAACTTGGGGCTGAATATCGACCTCCGACTAAATCATTCTTATTTTTCGATCATGAGTTTGAAATCAACAATCAAACAGTGTTTGGACTAGATCTACATTCAACATTCTGCCTTTATACGAACGAGCCCTCGGTACATCGGAAGCTATGAGTTATTGACGTGTTTGTTACCTCGGGCTGCAGGATCCCCCGGTGACACATTCCGCACACCGGATGCCCTCTCTGGAACATCAGCGGAGTCTTCCGTGTCCGAGCCCCGCACGCCGAATCCTCACACTTCAACCAGCCCTGGAACAGTGGAAGCTCATGTTCAAGAAGTGTCCTACTTCAAGACTAAACCGATGTGTCAGTTTCATCTATCTTAACGGCAAGTTTTGTTAACCACAATGTGAACAGTATTTCCGTTTTATCATAGTGAGTCATGTTACTGTGGAAAACGTAAACTGATGCAGGTGATCAGCGTCTACCACTCTGGTGTGATCCAGGCAAGGGAATTCACTGACTTTAAGAGTACAGTTTCCACCCTTGAATCAACAACTGGTTCCTAAACAAAAATGGCATCTGGCATACTGATTTCATTACATTGCAGGATTTGCAGAGCAAATATTTTCAAATATCTTCATGTTTTTAATCAAAGTCCTCAAAAGATTTGATGCACTTTGCGAGGTAAGATCCATTTTATTCCAATATAGATCTTGATTATTGATCGGATTATCGAGACTGGACGCCGCCATTTTGTTTGAAACAAATGCAAGTGACATGAGAGGTGAAATCTGATTGGTCAATAGGAAGGACATAGAAGGGTCATAACTTGTAATAGCCACTGGTGATGCTACAATTGAGCCCAGAAATTCCAGCCTAAGTCAGCAAGGGTGGAAACTGGACTTTCACAGTCAGTTAATTTCCTTGCCTAAGATGTAATCCACGATGTAGACATAATGTCCCTTTGTAATGATGAGCGTATATAGCTGGACTTGCCTCGTAGTAACACTTGACGTGTTTCCTGATGGCCAGCACGAGCCTGTTCTGAATCTGGGGGATGTACTCGTTGGGCACCATCTTGCACTGGGGGTTGGAGCACTTGGACAGTGAGCACTCCAGGGGGCTGTCCTGTAACACAGACACAGTGACGGAGTGAAGGAAGGAGGAAGGTGGGATTGAGTGAAGGAATGAGAAAAGGAGTAAATGAATTAGTGAGTGAAATGAGTGGAAGGTTGAGTGAGTGAGTGAATGAATGAATGAATGAATGAATGAATGAATAAGAAAAGGAGTGAGTGAAGGAATGAGATCTAGTTGGGTGGGTGTGATTGAATGAGAGTAAGTGAAGGAATGAGTGAGGTATTCAAGCCATATTGCAGTGCTGGGCGTAAATTGTGATGTCAGAAAGGAAGGGTCAGTGAGTGAGGGAGTAAGTGATTGCTGTTGAATGGAGCAGTTACCAATATTACAGCCAGATACTGACAGCTCTTATATAAAACTATGTCTTTTGACACAAAATAATGATCTTGAAATGCTAAATAGAGTGTTCAGGAAATGAAATGTTCACAAAACCACTTTTTCTCAGACAACTTGTTTGAGCCATTCGGATAAAGAGAGCCACGCACCGTTCCAAGAAAAACACCATCCATGATTATTTCCCTTCCGCAGTCCGCTGCCGGACATTTGACCTTGAACCTGTCGCAATCCTTGTAGCGTTCCTCCTCCGACATCTGTGTTCCTCCCAGGAGAGCATCATCATCGTCGTTGTCATGGTGCTGAGTCTGATGGCGGTAGCCCGTTGGGTCAAGACCTGTGGGTACAAATGGAGTGAGTGAGTGAGTTGTGTTTGATGCCGCTTTTAACAGTATTCCAGTCATATCACGGCATGTCAGCTTAATGTGGGAGGAAAGCCCCAAGTGATGCAGGTCTCAGACTTTGGAGAAACATACAAGCACGGTTATGCAGGGTTAGAACTTAACACTAGCCCGCTAGCCCGGGGCTAGTATAAACTTCTGCGGGTGAGTAAAAACGTCCACATTTCCCCTGTGTTTTAACATTACAAGGGCATTTATCTTTACCCGGGCTAGTAAAGCTTTTCAGTTTAGTTCTAACCCTGGTATAGTGCTGACAAACCTAGAAACATAATCGGGGTGAACCAGGATTCGAACCTGGGTATAAATGGAGAAATAGAAAGGTTAGTACGTTCTCCATATTTCCGGCGTTTGTATTTCGGTTAACCTACACCAATGCCTGGATCAATTCCCGGGGTTCTTGTGATCTCAAATGACCCAACTTTGATTTTCATTTGCATTTTACCGACCAATCAAATGTCAAGATAATCAAATAGGAAATGGGTAAGGGAGGTAAGCGATTGTAGTGCCACGACTATCATATCTCCCCTACTTTAACATAGAGGTAGTGAGTGAGTATGGTTTTACGCCGCTTTTAGCAATATTCCAGCAATATCACGGCGGGGGACACCAGAAATGGGCTTCACACATTGTACCCATGTCGGGAATCGAACCCGGGTGTTCGGCGTGACGAGTGAACGCTTTAACCACTAGGCTACCCGACCGCCCCTAACATAGAGGTAAGATAGTCGTAGGGCTACAATGGCTTTACGAAACGGCCCCTAGACCCCATCCTGGAAGGTAACGGGTCCCAAAACACTTGTTTCAAGGGTCCTCTGAGAAGACACGTTCAGAGGATCCTCTCAGCATGCACTGCACTAGGGAGCAGTTATTGAATTCTTTCAGGGAGCATTAATTTTTAGATTCAAGATTTGTTATTGACAAGGTGGAGCCCCCTGTGTCCCCCTCACCTAGACACTGGGCCAGGTGGGCAGCGTCGGTCCCCTCGATGGGGTCACAGAGTCGCGCCACCACGGGGTGCACCTGCTGGGCCAGGTAGTACTTGGTGTCTGAAACAAACAACAGGATCTGTTATAACAACTGACTGTCAAGCTGGTGCCAATTAACGATGATGATGATGATGTTGTTGTTGTTGTTGTTGTTGTTGATGATGATGTTGTTGTTGATGATGATGATGATGATGATGTTGTTGATGATGATGGTGATGATGTTGTTGTTGATGATGATGATGATTATGTTGTTGTTGGTGATGTTGATGATGATGGTGATGATGTTGTTGTTGATGATGATGATGATGATGATGATGGTGATGATGTTGTTGATGATGATGATGATGATGATGTTGTTGGTGGTGGTGATGATGATGATGATTAATAATGTGCCAGATTCCATCTACCAAGTGATTGCTCATGGCGCTACATTATTGGCTTTGAGTCCCCACATGGGTTCATGCCGATATAGTATTAAACAATGAAATGTTTAATTATCAAAATAGAGACAAAATACTTTATTAGCAGCATCAAATAATCATGGCGGATTGGTGTCCGGTATAATGCATGTGTACCTATACTTTGTGTCAGGTCTAAAATAACTGAGTCCTCAGGATATGTTATAAGAACTGACTATGAAGCTTGTGCCAATTAACAATGATGATGATGATGAATAGACAGCATATGATGAGATCCACAGACTCACATCCTACAAGGATGTCATACTATTCTGGATGCAGCATGACCTCACTCACCTATTTTAAGGTTGTCTCCCTTCGCTAGCTCTTCAGGGTGGTAGGCTCGCTGAGATGGCGGCAAGTTGGACCCATCCTGTAATCACCCAGGTCACAACATAAGTAACAGCCTTCCAGGACACCTTGTCCAGGGATTATTATCAATACCAAACTTAGCGCCGTTGGCAGTTATATTGGGGGAAAGAGTTAAAATTGGATTTTTACTGTAATTTCTTATATTCGTAAATTCAGCCATTTTAACATTGAATTTCTTACATTCCATTCAATGCAATAATATAAAACTAAGTTCTAAAGCCTCTTCCGGTTCATGGGTCCTGTCATCAGTCAACAAACTCGACCAAGGATCCCATCACACTGGTGGAGTATTTCGCCGACTAAGGGACCCCCTACCTGGCAGATGATGTAGGAGATGGTGTCTCCCGCCCGCATGCGCTTGCCTCCCTTGCTGTTGAGTCGCAGCGCCACCTGGACGTGAGGAAGACTCTTCTTGTCCGGGTAATCCTCGGGGTTCTTTGTCAGTTGCTGCAACACACAACGTCCATTTATCCCACAAATATGAAGAAAAATATATTCATCATTTAGCAACGGTCCATCAATATCATGACACATCTGGATTCATGATCAGCATCATATATTTCATGACCTCAAGACCGTAATCTGCATCATATATTTCATGACTCAAGACCGTAATCTGCATCATATATTTCATGACCTCAAGACCGTAATCTGCATCATATATTTCATGACCTCAAGACCGTAATCTGCATCATATATTTCATGACCTCAAGACCGTAATCTGCATTATATATTTCATGACTCAAGACCGTAATCTGCATCATATATTTCATGACCTCAAGACCGTAATCTGCATCATATATTTCATGACCTCAAGACCATAATCTTCATCATATATTTCATGACCTCAAGACCGTAATCTGCATCATATATTTCATGACTCAAGACCGTAATCTGCATCATATATTTCACGACCTCAAGACCGTAATCTGCATCATATATTTCATGACTCAAGACCGTAATCTGCATCATATATTTCATGACCTCAAGACCGTAATCTGCATCATATATTTCATGACCTCAAGACTGTAATCTGCATCATATATTTCATGACCTCAAGACCGTAATCTGCATCATATATTTCATGACCTCAAGACTGTAATCGGCATCATATATTTCATGACCTCAAGACCGTAATCTGCATCATATATTTCATGACCTCAAAACCGTAATCTGCATCATATATTTCATGACCTCAAGACCGTAATCTGCATCATATATTTCATGACTCAAGACCGTAATCTGCATCATAAATTTCATGACCTCGGTATTGTATATTTCGTTAACCTCAGTATCATAATCTGCATTGTATATTTTGTGACGTTAGTGTGGTAACCCATGCTGACAGTCAGCGCCAGACTCTACCTTGGTGATGTGGAACAGCTCTACAGGGATTTCGTTGTTGGCCACTTTCTCTCCCACCTCAATCAGCTTGCCGTGTATGGTCTCCACAAGCGTCTCTCGTGTCTCTCCGGAGAGAATCTGACTCACAACAAACCTGAAGAACAAATTCATATAGGTGGCTGTGAGTTTTCTCAGAGACAGGAAACTGTTCTGTCTTGCAAGGCAAACTCCCACATAAAAGAACATGTGATCATAAACTGAGCCACTAGCTCAAAGTAACAGTTCATTCATATTTTAGTTAGCCAAGAGCCAAATAGTCAGCAGTTTAGTCGAGCTCTGTACTTTAGTCATTTCCCTTAAACACACACTCACAGTAAACCTGTCTGTGCCTACATCGCTAAGGTACACTCACAGTACACCTGTCTGTGCCTACATCGCTAGAGTACACTCACAGTACACCTGTCTGTGCCTACATCTCTAGAGTACACTCACAGTACACCTGTCTGTGCCTACATCGCTAGAGTACACTCACAGTACACCTGCCTGTGCCTACATGTATAGAGTACACTCACAGTACACCTGCCTGTGCCTACATCTCTAGAGTACACTCACAGTACACCAGTCTGTGCCTACATGTATAGAGTACACTCACAGTACACCAGTCTGTGCCTACATCTCTAGAGTACACTCACAGTACACCAGTCTGTGCCTACATCGCTAGAGTACACTCACAGTACACCAGTCTGTGCCTACATCGCTAGAGTACACTCACAGTACACCTGTCTGTGCCTACATCTCTAGAGTACACTCACAGTACACCAGTCTGTGCCTACATCGCTAGAGTACACTCACAGTACACCAGTCTGTGCCTACATCGCTAGAGTACACTCACAGTACACCTGTCTGTGCCTACATCTCTAGAGTACTCACAGTACACCTGTCTGTGCCTACATCGCTAGAGTACACTCACAGTACACCAGTCTGTGCCTACATCGCTAGAGTACACTCACAGTACACCTGTCTGTGCCTACATCTCTAGAGTACACTCACAGTACACCAGTCTGTGCCTACATCGCTAGAGTACACTCACAGTACACCAGTCTGTGCCTACATCGCTAGAGTACACTCACAGTACACCTGTCTGTGCCTACATCTCTAGAGTACTCACAGTACACCTGTCTGTGCCTACATCGCTAGAGTACACTCACAGTACACCAGTCTGTGCCTACATCGCTAGAGTACACTCACAGTACACCTGTCTGTGCCTACATCTCTAGAGTACACTCACAGTACACCAGTCTGTGCCTACATCGCTAGAGTACACTCACAGTACACCAGTCTGTGCCTACATCGCTAGAGTACACTCACAGTACACCTGTCTGTGCCTACATCTCTAGAGTACTCACAGTACACCTGTCTGTGCCTACATCTCTAGAGTACACTCACAGTACACCTGTCTGTGCCTACATCTCTAGAGTACTCACAGTACACCTGTCTGTGCCTACATCGCTAGAGTACACTCACAGTACACCTGTCTGTGCCTATATTGCTAGAGTACACTCACAGTACACCTGTCTGTGCCTACATCTCTAGAGTACTCACAGTACACCTGTCTGTGCCTACATCGCTAGAGTACACTCACAGTACACCAGTCTGTGCCTACATCGCTAGAGTACACTCACAGTACACCTGTCTGTGCCTACATCTCTAGAGTACACTCACAGTACACCAGTCTGTGCCTACATGTATAGAGTACACTCACAGCACACCAGTCTGTGCCTACATCGCTAGAGTACACTCACAGTACACCAGTCTGTGCCTACATCGCTAGAGTACACTCACAGTACACCTGTCTGTGCCTACATCGCTAGAGTACACTCACAGTACACCTGCCTGTGCCTACATCTCTAGAGTACACTCACAGTACACATGTCTGTGCCTACATCGCTAGAGTACACTCACAGTACACCAGTCTGTGCCTACATCTCTAGAGTACACTCACAGTACACCAGTCTGTGCCTACATCGCTAGAGTACACTCACAGTACACATGTCTGTGCCTACATCGCTAGAGTACACTCACAGTACACCAGTCTGTGCCTACATCTCTAGAGTACACTCACAGTACACCAGTCTGTGCCTACATCGCTAGAGTACACTCACAGTATACCAGTCTGTGCCTACATCGCTAGAGTACACTCACAGTACACCTGTCTGTGCCCACACCTCTAGAGTACACTCACAGCACACCTGTCTGTGCCTACATCTCTAGAGTACTCACAGTACACCTGTCTGTGCCTACATCTCTACAGTACACCTGTCTGTGCCTACATCGCTAAGGTACACTCACAGTAAACCTGTCTGTGCCTACATCGCTAAGGTACACTCACAGTAAACCTGTCTGTGCCTACATCGCTAAGGTACACTCACAGTAAACCTGTCTGTGCCTACATCGCTAAGGTACACTCACAGTAAACCTGTCTGTGCCTACATCGCTAGAGTACACACACAGTAAACCTGTCTGTGCCTACATCTCTAGAGTACACTCACAGTACACCTGCCTGTGCCTACATAGCTAGAGTACACTCACAGTACACCTGCCTGTGCCTACATCGCTAGAGTACACTCACAGTACACCTGTCTGTGCCTACATCTCTAGAGTACACTCACAGTACACCAGTCTGTGCCTACATGTATAGAGTACACTCATAGTACACGTCTGTGCCTACATGTATAGACTACACTCACAGTACACCTGTCTGTGCCTATATTGCTAGAGTACACTCACAGTACACCTGCCTGTGCCTACATCTCTAGAGTACACTCACAGTACACCTGTCTGTGCCTACATCGCTAGAGTACACTCACAGTACACCTGTCTGTGCCTATATTGCTAGAGTACACTCACAGTACACCTGTCTGTGCCTATATTGCTAGAGTACACTCACAGTACACCTGTCTGTGCCTACATCGCTAGACTACACTCACAGTACACCTGTCTGTGCCTATATTGCTAGAGTACACTCACAGTACACCTGTCTGTGCCTACATCTCTAGAGTACACTCACAGTACACCTGTCTGTGCCTACATCGCTAGAGTACACTCACAGTACACCTGCCTGTGCCTACATCTCTAGAGTACACTCACAGTACACCTGTCTGTGCCTACATCGCTAGAGTACACTCACAGTACACCTGCCTGTGCCTACATCTAGAGTACACTCACAGTTCACCTGTCTGTGCCTACATCTCTAGAGTACACTCACAGTACACCAGTCTGTGCCTACATCGCTAGAGTACACTCACAGTACACCTGTCTGTGCCTACATCTCTAGAGTACACTCACAGTACACCTGTCTGTGCCTACATCGCTAGAGTACACTCACAGTACACCTGCCTGTGCCTACATCTAGAGTACACTCACAGTAAACCTGTCTGTGCCTACATCTAGAGTACACACACAGTAAACCTGTCTGTGCCTACATCGCTAGAGTACACTCACAGTACACCTGTCTGTGCCTACATCTCTAGAGTACACTCACAGTACACCTGTCTGTGCCTACATCGCTAGAGTACACTCACAGTACACCTGCCTGTGCCTACATCTAGAGTACACTCACAGTAAACCTGTCTGTGCCTACATCTAGAGTACACTCACAGTACACCTGCCTGTGCCTACATCTAGAGTACACTCACAGTAAACCTGTCTGTGCCTACATCGCTAGAGTACACTCACAGTACACCTGTCTGTGCCTACATCTCTAGAGTACACTCACAGTACACCAGTCTGTGCCTACATCGCTAGAGTACACTCACAGTACACATGTCTGTGCCTACATCTCTAGAGTACACTCACAGTACACCTGCCTGTGCCTACATCTCTAGAGTACACTCATAGTACACCTGTCTGTGCCTACATCGCTAAGGTACACTCACAGTACACCTGTCTGTGCCTACATCTCTAGAGTACTCACAGTACACCAGTCTGTGCCTACATCTCTAGAGTACACTCACAGTACACCTGTCTGTGCCTACATCGCTAGAGTACACTCACAGTACACCTGCCTGTGCCTACATCTAGAGTACACTCACAGTAAACCTGTCTGTGCCTACATCGCTAGAGTACACTCACAGTACACCTGTCTGTGCCTACATCTCTAGAGTACACTCACAGTACACCTGTCTGTGCCTACATCGCTAGAGTACACTCACAGTACACATGTCTGTGCCTACATCGCTAGAGTACACTCACAGTACACCTGTCTGTGCCTACATCTCTAGAGTACACTCACAGTTCACCTGTCTGTGCCTACATCGCTAGAGTACACTCACAGCACACCTGTCTGTGCCTACATCGCTAAGGTACACTCACAGTACACCTGCCTGTGCCTACATCGCTAGAGTACACTCACAGTACACCTGTCTGTGCCTACATCGCTAAAGTACACTCACGGTACACCTGTCTGTGCCTACATCGCTAAGGTACACTCACAGCACACCTGTCTGTGCCTACATCGCTAAGGTACACTCACAGCACACCTGTCTGTGCCTACATCGCTAGAGTACACTCACAGTACACCTGTCTGTGCCTACATCGCTAAAGTACACTCACGGTACACCTGTCTGTGCCTACATCGCTAGAGTACACTCATAGTACACCTGCCTGTGCCTACATCGCTAAGGTACACTCACGGTACACCTGCCTGTGCCTACATCGCTAGAGTACACTCACAGCACACCTGTCTGTGCCTACATCGCTAGAGTACACTCACAGTACACCTGCCTGTGCCTACATCGCTAGAGTACACTCACAGTACACCAGTCTGTGCCTACATGTATAGAGTACACTCACAGTACACATGTCTGTGCCTACATGTATAAACTACAATCACAGTAGACCTGCCTGTGCCTACATTGCTAGAGTACACTCACAGTACACCTGTCTGTGCCTACATCGCTAGAGTACACTCACAGTACACATGTCTGTGCCTACATGTATAGAGTACACTCACAGTACACATGTCTGTGCCTACATGTATAGACTACAATCACAGTAGACCTGCCTGTGCCTACATTGCTAGAGTACTCACAGTACACCTGACTGTGCCTACATCGCTAGAGTACACTCACAGTACACCTCACTGTGCCTACATCTCTAGAGTACTCACAGTACACCTGCCTGTGCCTACATCGCTAGAGTACACTCACAGTACACCAGTCTGTGCCTACATCGCTAGAGTACACTCATAGTACACCTGTCTGTGCCTACATCTCTAGAGTACACTCACAGTACACCTGTCTGTGCCTACATTGCTAGAGTACACTCACAGTACACCAGTCTGTGCCTACATCTCTAGAGTACACTCACAGTACACCAGTCTGTGCCTACATCGCTAGAGTACACTCACAGTACACCAGTCTGTGCCTACATCTCTAGAGTACACTCACAGTACACCTGTCTGTGCCTACATCTAGAGTACACACACAGTACACCTGCCTGTGCCTACATCTCTAGAGTACACTCACAGTACACCTGTCTGTGCCTACATCGCTAGAGTACACTCACAGTACACCAGTCTGTGCCTACATCGCTAGAGTACACTCACAGTACACCAGTCTGTGCCTACATCTCTAGAGTACACTCACAGTACACCTGTCTGTGCCTACATCGCTAGAGTACACTCACAGTACACCTGTCTGTGCCTACATCTCTAGAGTACACTCACAGTACACCTGTCTGTGCCTACATTGCTAGAGTACTCACAGTACACCTGCCTGTGCCTACATCTCTAGAGTACACTCACAGTACACCTGCCTGTGCCTACATCGCTAGAGTACACTCACAGTACACCTGTCTGTGCCTACATCTCTAGAGTACACTCACAGTACACCTGCCTGTGCCTACATCGCTAGAGTACACTCACAGTACACCTCACTGTGCCTACATCTCTAGAGTACTCACAGTACACCTCACTGTGCCTACATCGCTAGAGTACACTCACAGTACACCTGCCTGTGCCTACATCTCTAGAGTACTCACAGTACACCTCACTGTGCCTACATCGCTAGAGTACACTCACAGTACACCTGCCTGTGCCTACATCGCTAGAGTACACTCACAGTACACCAGTCTGTGCCTACATGTATAGAGTACACTCACAGTACACATGTCTGTGCCTACATGTATAAACTACAATCACAGTAGACCTGCCTGTGCCTACATTGCTAGAGTACACTCACAGTACACCTGTCTGTGCCTACATCGCTAGAGTACACTCACAGTACACATGTCTGTGCCTACATGTATAGAGTACACTCACAGTACACATGTCTGTGCCTACATGTATAGACTACAATCACAGTAGACCTGCCTGTGCCTACATTGCTAGAGTACTCACAGTACACCTGTCTGTGCCTACATCGCTAGAGTACACTCACAGTACACATGTCTGTGCCTACATGTATAGAGTACACTCATAGTACACGTCTGTGCCTACATGTATAGAGTACACTCACAGTACACCAGTCTGTGCCTACATCGCTAGAGTACACTCACAGTACACCTGTCTGTGCCTACATCGCTAGAGTACACTCACAGTACACCTGTCTGTGCCTACATCTCTAGAGTACACTCACAGTACACCTGTCTGTGCCTACATCGCTAGAGTACACTCACAGTACACCTGTCTGTGCCTACATCGCTAGAGTACACTCACAGTACACCTGTCTGTGCCTACATCTCTAGAGTACACTCACAGTACACCAGTCTGTGCCTACATCGCTAGAGTACACTCACAGTACACCAGTCTGTGCCTACATCGCTAGAGTACACTCACAGTACACCAGTCTGTGCCTACATCTCTAGAGTACACTCACAGTACACCTGTCTGTGCCTACATCTCTAGAGTACACTCACAGTACACCTGTCTGTGCCTACATCGCTAGAGTACACTCACAGTACACCTGTCTGTGCCTACATCGCTAGAGTACACTCACAGTACACCAGTCTGTGCCTACATGTATAGAGTACACTCACAGTAAACCTGTCTGTGCCTACATCTCTAGAGTACACTCACAGTACACCAGTCTGTGCCTACATCGCTAGAGTACACTCACAGTACACCAGTCTGTGCCTACATCGCTAGAGTACACTCACAGTACACCAGTCTGTGCCTACATCTCTAGAGTACACTCACAGTACACCTGTCTGTGCCTACATCTCTAGAGTACACTCACAGTACACCTGTCTGTGCCTACATCGCTAGAGTACACTCACAGTACACCTGTCTGTGCCTACATCGCTAGAGTACACTCACAGTACACCTGTCTGTGCCTACATGTATAGAGTACACTCACAGTACACCAGTCTGTGCCTACATCTCTAGAGTACACTCACAGTACACCAGTCTGTGCCTACATGTATAGAGTACACTCACAGTACACCTGTCTGTGCCTACATCTCTAGAGTACACTCACAGTACACCAGTCTGTGCCTACATGTATAGAGTACACTCACAGTACACCTGTCTGTGCCTACATCTCTAGAGTACACTCACAGTACACCAGTCTGTGCCTACATGTATAGAGTACACTCACAGTACACCTGTCTGTGCCTACATCTCTAGAGTACACTCACAGTACACCTGTCTGTGCCTACATCTCTAGAGTACACTCACAGTTCACCTGTCTGTGCCTACATCTCTAGAGTACACTCACAGTACACCTGCCTGTGCCTACATCGCTAGAGTACACTCACAGTACACCAGTCTGTGCCTACATCTAGAGTACACTCACAGTACACCTGCCTGTGCCTACATCTCTAGAGTACACTCACAGTACACCTGTCTGTGCCTACATGTACGAGTACGACCCGTGAAGATCTTATAGATTAGGTCTTCACCAACCCATGCTTGTCATAAGAGGCGACTAACAGGATTGGGTGGTCAGGCTCGCTGACTTGGTTTTGATGCATGTCATTAACTCATTTGTGTGGATCGATGCTCATAGTGTCACAGACTTGATTATTTACAGATCACCATCATGTAGCTGGAATATTGCTGAGCGCGGCATTAAACAATAAATAAACAAACAAATAAAACAAATGTTTATAGTACACTCAAAGTACATCTGAACGCGCCTACAAGATTTCAACAGACTGGCTTTGGACTAGTAGTTATTGTCTCAGACTGACATACAAAGAGACTCATGACTGTACTTACTTTCCTGCCTCCTTGGACAAATCACACCAGTCCCGCCGGACGATGTCCAGCCCCTTCAGTTCCTCCGACGTGGTGATCTTGCCGTCCGCAGACCGACTCACACTCAGCGCTGCATACTTCTTCTTTTTCAGCAACAGCATCGACTTGAAGACTCCATCGATGTCGATCTCCAGCAGCCGGTACAGCTTGTTCACCTCCGACTTCACCTGTACAGAGTCAGTGAGTGAGTTAGGTGAGGTGGGATGAGGTGGGGTTGGGTGAGGTGAGGTGAAGTGAGATAATGTGAGGTCAGGTGGGGTGAAGTGAGATGAGATGAGGTGAGGTGAGATAAGGTGGGGTGAAGTGAGATGAAGTGAGGTGAGATAAGGTGAGGTCAGGTGGGGTGAAGTGAGATGAGGTGAGGTGGGGTGGGGTTGGGTGAGGTGAGATGGAGTGAAGTGAGGTGAGGTCAGGTGGGGTGAAGTGAGATGAGGTGAGGACAGGTGGGGTGAAGTGAGATGAGGTGAGGTCAGGTCAGGTGGGGTGAAGTGAGGTGAGGTGAGGTGAGGTGAGTTGAGGTGAGGTGAAATGGGGTTTAACGTTGCGTTCAAGATAATTGCACTTATATAGTGATTTGCATGCGTGCTTGCGTTAGTACGGATTGATGCCGATTTATAGTGGTAGCCCACTGATACCATGCTGCAGTTTAACATGAATACTCCGATCAGACACAGTATACTGACTCCAAGCCGACCAGTCCTTGTTTTAGCTCCTTAATGCCAAGCGCCAGACAGGGTAACAACAAGTACCATCTCTTAACGTCTTTTGGTATGACGCGTCCAGAGTGAGTGAGTGAGTATGGTTTTATGCCGCTTTTAGCAATATTCCAGCAATATCACGGCGGGGGACACCAGAAATGGGCTTCACACATTGTACCCATGTCGGGAATCGAACCCGGGTCTTCTGCGTGAGGAGCGAAGACGCGGCCAGAGATCAAACCCCAGACCTTCCGCTCTATGGGCGGAAGCTCTTCCACTAGACCACGGAGGCAGTCCTTGCATGTCTGAAGGACGCAATGCCGCACAGTAAAATGACAATGCCGTAGATTTCAGGGTACCGTAATATCATCAGGAAATACAAGAAAACCAAAAATTAAAAACCACTTAATATGTAATAAACAGCCAGAAATGTTTGAGAAATACATGAGATTTGTTTCCGTCTGTCCACCCTGTAGACAACAGACCAAGTGTTCCACCCGACACAAGATCTCACCTTGTTCCCCAGTTTGAAGACCTGGTCAAGGTCGGTGCAGTTGGAGTTGATCATGATGGAGTCCGTGTCTCCGTAGATGACGTCCAGGTTCATCTGTAGAAGCAGGGGTTTGCACAGTGTGGTTAGGAATTATTTTACATGTTGATGACAAAAGAATCATTTTCCAGCAGCCCCATGCCAGAAGGGGTTTCTATGTGGCACATGCGTCACTATCAGGATGGATATGATCCAACAGCTGAACGGAGGAATGCATCATGAGTTTACAATGAGTGAATGTTGTTTTCCGCCAGTCAGCAATATTCCAGCCATGTCACCTGATTCACTGTTATCAAGTCTTACGATAAGCATAGGTATTTTTTTACCAATTCATCCCCTGAAACCGGACAGGGTTACAAGCAGAACGGATGAATATATTGTGAGTTTACAGTAAGTGAATGTTGTTTTCCGCCACAGTCAGCAATATTCCAGCAATGTCACAGCAACATGTAAATAATCTAGTCTGGACCAGATAAACCAGCAGCGTTAGAAATTGGCACTTGTCCTGTAGTCCTTACCAAACTGCCCAATAGTAAAGGTATCCTAAGGACTAGTAGAAATTGGCCCATTTTAAGGGTTTTGCTATATGCCATCAATATAAGGACTGGTGGACAAAAAGTATTAGTTTCTAACCCTGAGTGTGTCCAGTGGTTGATATGAGGAACATTCCATGACCTCGAGGTACAGTGGCACCTGAATCGAACCACCTGGTTCATTGTAATCAAGTCTTACGATAAGCATTGGGTACTTTGGACCAATTCATCTCCTGAGACCTGACAGGGGTAATGAGCTTACAAGTTGCAAAGACTCCTCTATTCAAGGCAATCAGGAAACTTTCAAGTCTGGTTCTTTGTCCTCATTCCTAATTTACACCGGAATAAAGCAGGGTTTTCCGTTACCTCATAAAACTGGAGGTCATTGATGTCCTACTGTTCTCCAACTTCTCTTTGTGTAACTTACATTTTAATCCACCAAAAAACTCCACTTGATTCAAAAGTTCATTTCATGATAAAATATTGTAAAAAGTGATTCAGGGCTGACCAATCAGCAGGTAATTCTTTTGCTAGCAACAAATGATTTCTCTGAAAGCTGCCAAACATTTTTTTCTTTTAATGGACTGGTCATCTAGTGAAGGCGTGGGTGGGCCGGTGGGATTGGTCTTAGGACTGTATCATACAGTCAAGTCTCGTTAATCCGACACTCTGCTTTATCCGACACAAATGATGGGAACCGATTGATTCAGTGCTATTTAGTCCCGTTAATCCGACATTCTCGCACTCCGACCCCGACACACCTAATTTGCAACGAATTACCGAAATCACTCATTAATCAGTCTCGTTAATCCGACACAGTGGTCAGCGTACTCCGTGGTCATCTGCCCGCGAGTACACAACCCCGTGTTTTGACACGCACTGGCTGCAGAGATTAACTTTAACACTTAACACTTGATGCCGGGATCATAAAGAATTTCAAGCTTTATTATAAGAAACAAATGAAATTACACCTCAACAATGTTGATGCTGAAGAACCACAAGCCCTAGACGTCAAGCGAACAGGGGACTTTGAGAAATGTGCCTTCAAAATGTGAGAAACAGAAAACACTGAATGACTATTTTAAGTAGATGAAGCAAGTTGTTAAGACAGTAGCACTTGCATTTACACGAGGAAACACACGGTTATTATCTATCGTGAAGATGTCCGATTTTCGATCACAAATCACTTAATTTCATTAATCCGACATACTCGTTAATCCGACACAATCATGTGCAACCAACGATGTCGGATTAACGAGACGTGACTGTATTTTGCTGATCCCCTCCACTTATTGTTACACTTGGCCGTGTCCCCACTCCCCTCAATAAATGTCCAGTCCCTAAATAATGTCATTTCTTATTCAAAAATAGAACTGTCATTTTTCATCCACCTCAGTTTTTTTTTCAAAACCCGTCCCCAGCCCCCTTAACCTCACAGACCCACCCAACCCTAAAACAAATTACCAGTCCCTAATATTATCACTATTTTAAAAAGATCAACATGATCAAAAATAACTTACCGCTTGCACAAGGTCCTTAGTCTTCAATAAAATCTAAAAGAAAAAGAAAATTCAAGCTTTAGACATAGCACAAAACACAAAATACAACAAGCTTTAAATACTCCTGTCCCCATCAAAGGTATGTACTACTGAGAGCAAGACTCAAGCCCCTGACGACAAGGTCCGCTGACCACAGGGGCCGCTGACCACAAGGGCCCCTGACCACAAGGGCCCCTGACCACAAGGGCCGCTGACCACAAGGGCCGCTGACCACAAGGGCCCCTGACAAGGGATGCTGACCACAAGGGCCCCTGACCACAAGGGCCGCTGACCACAAGGGCCGCTGACCACAAGGGCCCCTGACAAGGGACGCTGACAACAAGGGACGCTGACCACAAGGGACGCTGACAAGGGACGCTGACCACAAGGGACTCTGACCACAAGGGCCCCTGACAAGGGACGCTGACCACAAGGGACGCTGACCACAAGGGCCCCTGACCACAAGGGACGCTGACAAGGGACGCTGACCACAAGGGACGCTGACCACAAGGGCCCCTGACAAGGGACGCTGACCACAAGGGACGCTGACAACAAGGGACGCTGACCACAAGGGCCCCTGACCACAAGGGCCCCTGACCACAAGGGCCTCTGACCACAAGGGACTCTGACCACAAGGGCCCCTGACAAGGGATGCTGACAACAAGGGCCCCTGACCACAAGGGACGCTGACCACAAGGGCCGCTGACCACAAGGGATGCTGACCACAAGGGACGCTGACAACAAGGGCCCCTGACCACAAGGGCCGCTGACCACAAGGGACGCTGACAACAAGGGCCCCTGACCACAAGGGACGCTGACCACAAGGGACGCTGACAACAAGGGCCCCTGACCACAAGGGATGCTGACCACAAGGGCCCCTGACAAGGGACGCTGACCACAAGGGATGCTGACCACAAGGGCCGCTGACAAGAGATGCTGACAACAAGGGCCCCTGACCACAAGGGCTGCTGACCACAAGGGATGCTGACCACAAGGGACGCTGACCACAAGGGCCCCTGACCACAAGGGACGCTGACAACAAGGGCCGCTGACCACAAGGGCCCCTGACAAGGGACGCTGACAACAAGGGCCCCTGACCACAAGGGACGCTGACCACAAGGGCCTCTGACCACAAGGGCCGCTGACCACAAGGGCCCCTGACAAGGGATGCTGACAACAAGGGCCGCTGACCACAAGGGCTGCTGACCACAAGGGACGCTGACAAGGGCCCCTGACAAGGGATGCTGACCACAAGGGCCTCTGACAAGGTACGCTGACCACAAGGGCCTCTGACAACAAGGGCCCCTGACCACAAGGGCCCCTGACAAGGGACGCTGACAACAAGGGCCCCTGACCACAAGGGCCGCTGACCACAAGGGCCCTTGACAAGGGACGCTGACAACAAGGGCCCCTGACCACAAGGGCCGCTGACCACAAGGGCCCCTGACCACAAGGGCCGCTGACCACAAGGGACGCTGACCACAAGGGACGCTGGAACTTGTTGCAAAGAGTCTGACACTGATAACTATGCTGCTAGCTGACTGATAGAGAAGAGTGGTGTTACCATGGTTACAATTTTGTTTGTTTGTTGTTTTACGCTGCACTCAGCAATATTTCAGCTATATGACGGCAGTCTGTAAATAATCGAGTCTGGACCAGACAATCAAGTGTGACAATATGAGCATCGAGTCTGACAACCAGATCCTGTTAGTCGCCTCTTACGACAAGCATAGTCCAATTTCACGTCGAGCAAGAGTTCCTGAAGACCTATTCTACCCCGGATCTTCACTGGTGCCATGGTTACAAGAGATGATCACTGGCAGCAGTGGTTATCATCAGATACATTCGGGTTTTCTTGGTTTTTTTATGGAATTAGATTTCTAAATTGGTAAATAGCAAAAGGAAGCAGTTTATCACAAGCCTATCTGTGCTATGATCAGCAAATTTTGAACAGTTTGGGTAATGCCCTGGATCAAACACAAAACTCATTTGCATCAAAGTCCAATTTGTTGTCATGGATTTCGGAATAAATATAAAAAATAATGCTAATTTTTTCGGCATATAGGGTGAGGACAAAACCTAACTCTAAAATCCTACTGATCAGAACAAATTATGTTGTGTTCATGATAAGAAACATTCATGCCATAGTTGAATTTCTTCAGAGTCTGGCCATCTTAGAGTTTACAGATCCAAATATACATTATGAGAGAAACAAACACATGGTCAAAACAGTAAGGTCAAATAAAGGTCAAAATTGTAAATATCTTGAAAAGTGAAACGTATGTGTTGGGCTCCACGACTTACTAAACATATCAAATTTCTTAACTTTGGAAAAGAAATGATTCAAACCTCTTGGAAATATTCAGATGTTATCATTGGTGGGAAAAGCATGTTGAGTTTCATCTTCATCAGTTCCTTGGTTCTTTGTACTTGGTACTACATCTTACCCACCACGTTTCAGAGTTAAGAAGATTTATAAACATATTTTTTTTTAAATCAAAGATGGCTAGCTGGCGAGCAGCCATATTGAAATTCCAATTTTGATGACTTGAACAAAGTTGGACCCCCTCACAGTTACAAACATCCATACGAAATTTTAGCTGAATCCATCTGGCCATTTTAGATAAGTCAAACATGTGAAATGCTTATGCGTGACGACAACAGTGAGTGAGTATGGTTTTACGCCGATTTTAGCAATATTCCAGCAATATCACGGTGGGGGACACCACAAAGGGGCTTCACACATTGTACCCATGTCAGGAATCAACCCGGGTCTTCAGTGTGACGAACGAACCCTTTAACCACCAGGCTACCCGACCGCCCCCGTGATGACAACAGATCACAACACAAGCTCATATGGCCTTTCCAACAAAGTGAAAGGCACCATGGCTAGACTGATAGCTGTGTGGTTTGATTAAGAAATAAGGAATAGTTATCATGGTTATGCTCTGAGACCCATTTCCATCCCTCAAACTATTTAAATTTTAACTCACTTTGGAAGGAAATAGTATTTTTATGACAAAACACAGTAAGCTACAACTACCTTAATAACAAAACACAAGATTTATCACACACACAGAAAAAAAAAAAGTTAATTAAAAGTTTAGTTCAGTGAATTTTTCTCAACTATGATCAGTTGTTCTGTCGATAGTGCTACATCCCCAGAATATTGTCACGTACATGGACACAATCTCACGATCATGTCTTTAGTGAGTCTTAAATCTCAACAAAATGGATTCCACAAACCAAGCCAAAGATTCAACCCTTGGACATCATCCAAATTGTATTAACTTTAATAATATGGTGACAAGTCCACGAGCAAAGTCAATGATTTCCACCACAATCTCCTCGCCACGACAACCAAGTGTGAAATGTCTCCGTAATGAAAGCACAACCATGACGATCCCACATCCCTTTCAAGATCAACCTCCCACATCCCCCGACCTTCAGCATCGACTCCAGGTCGTCTTTTCCTATGGGAATACAGTCCACAATTAGAAATAATTTCTCCACGTTGCAAATCCCACTTAACCCTTGTCTTTATTGAGAGCATCACTTGGAAGGAGACGAGGTGATTGTTTGTTTATTCAAGGCTAGTTTCATATTACGAGATCGCCTCACATAAAGGCATTGTTTTAAGCTGAACTTCATGTTGGGAACCTGCTGCTGGCGTTGTTAATCCTTGTTGACGAGCTACCACTTAACAAACAAACAACAGTGAAGACGGACCAGGAAGTGGGACTATTTCAGTTGATGGTGATGGTCTCAAATCTAGACAAACACAGCAAATTGGAGTTAAGGGATTGTGTCAAAACTTTCAAAAGTAAACTTCACGTCATAATTGAACACATTAAATTCTTTAAAAGCATTAATCTGTAGTTCTAGAACAACTCCTTATAAGATGAAGAATGGTTTATTTGAATATAACATCTTGAATTTTAGTGTCGTTAGTTGTAGCTGCGGTCTTCCAGTCAATAGGCATCACACACTATGTGTACAATAGCCCTTACAATTACCTCTCAAAAGGTGAGGTGAGGTGAAATGGGGTAACGTCGCGTCCAAGATTATTGCACTTATATAGCAATGTGCATGTACCTTTATGTATGTGTGTGGCTGCTTGTACTAGTCCGGACTGATGCCGATTTATAGTGCTAGCTCACTGAGATACCATGCCGCAGTTTAACATGAATACCCCACCCAGACACAGTATACTGACTCCGAGCCGACCAGTCCTTGTTTTAGCCCCTTAATGCCGAGCGCCAGACAGGGTAACAACAAGTATCATCTTTTAACGTCTTTTGGTATGACGCGGCCGGGGATAAAACCTCGGACCTTCCGCTCTACGGGCAGACGCTCTACCACTAGACCACGGAGGCGGTCGACCTCTCAACACAAGCAGGCAGCATGAGGGACATATTGTATTGTGCCCCGGAATCCCCAGGGACCAGGTACGGAGGAGAGGGAATCCTAAAGAGGCAGGCCTCAAAATTTAAATTTTAACCCAGTAGCCATATGGCTACAAGTATTTTTTCCAGGTAGCCAGTGGTAAAATCAAGAAGTCAAGCCAATATTGTAGGTAGCCAAAGCATTTGAAATTATCTTTCATCAAATAACTATTATATGTACAAGTCATAGCACTAGTCTTGGAATTGTATATTAGTGGAAACTGTACTTGAGTTTTGTTATTTGTGAATTTATGTTGCTAGATTATATAGGTACATCCTTGCTTATCCAATAAACTATCAGCTAAAATAAAATACTAATTACATTAACATTTATGCATTTTGGTTCATTGTTGAATAATTTGCAAGTACAATCAGTAGCAGACATGTTTATTTTTTAGTCTTCGTATGTGTACTATGTGTAGCAATGGAATTAAGTCGCCACAAGATATTTTTGTAGGTAGTCATTTGGCTACCTCTGAAGTTAGACAGTAAACAAATTGAAATTGGCCATTGTTTTAGTTGCAACTTTGAGGCCTGAGAGGTCTTGCACCTACACACACACACCCCTCC